CAGAACACAAGAAACATCTACAACAATTCTACAACGCAAGAAGAGGAGATAAGTTTATCCGCCAATAAAGCAGGATGAGACAGAGGAAGGCCACATAAATAAAGCACAATTAGAAAATTAAGTACAAAAGCAACATTATTACTTCACTTTGTCAGAAAAGCCAATTCAAAAAGCAGTTTCCCTTTCTTGGAGAAGTGCATTGTTGGAACTGGGTTGGAACACCAAGTGGCTCTAGATTCAGGGGTTCCCGCTATAGCCGAACACAAGGGAAAGATCATTTCTAGGGATACTAACAAGATCATTTTATCAGGCAATGGGGATACTCAACATTCCATTAGTTATGTATCAACGTTCCAACAAAAATACTTATATGCATCAAACCCCCCAAGTTCGGGGGTAAATGCATTAAAAAATGACAAATTTTAGGGGACGGTGCCGCTACAGTTCTTTGTATGATAAATCAGCAAGCAGAAAAAAAAGGATTGGCATAGTAAGATAAAACCTTGTGGAAATGGAAGGTCATTTCTCCGACTTCAACAATGAAATCACTTGGAAGTCCAGTTGAACAAAGCCTGCAGAAGAATACATATCAGCATCTAAGATGATATACAAGCACATAAAGAGAGACAAAATACAATGTCTTAAATGACAGTTGGAAATTGAAGGGCAGAAAGAGAGTTCACTTTAATACGTTTGAACATCATTGTTCAAAACAATAAGTAGAAGAATGCATTCTTAGGACAACACATTAATATATTTCTTGAAATTTCCAGATGTCTTCTCCTTCATTCTTTTAGTTTCTAACGGTTAAGACAAGTTAGAATCACCTCAATGGGTTTATTCAATTGTCCTATGTTATTTGTATTACTCCAATAAGATCTTGTGTTCCTAATAAATCTTATATTTAAATTTCAAGGTGGTATTGGAGCATTCACTTATAACCAATAGAAAAGAGGAAAAAATAGGCATAAGAAGCGAAATGTACTGATTAGAAGCCAGTCAGTTCACAATTCTAACTATAAAATCAGGATAAAAGACTGCCATGACTGGTAAAAACAGGACCTTAACATAAGAAGAAACGTAACCAAATACCTTAAAACTCAATTTACCCCATAAATGCCATGACTAAGTACCACAACTAAGGAACTCCTTAAACCACAGTAGTTTACATAAACTTCTATAATTCAAGAAGTGGTCAAGAGGAAATTACACCACATAAAATAAAAAAAGACTCCATATATGGATTCCATCATTCAATTCCACAAAGTGGATCAGAGTAAATTAGTGCATATTGAAAAAAAAAAGAAGTTTTTTCTTCTTTTTTTCAGGTTTGAGAGTTGGGTATTCTGAAGCTGAAATTCACATGTGTCTATAACCACTTTATATTTTCAAAGTGAAATTATATAGCTTCTTGCCTCTGTAGTTTCTTTAGCAGAAGTATTGCCACCACTTGCATGAATTTCCACTTTAAAAAAAAAATGTTCTCCTCCACATTGTCCATGTCTATCTTATCGAACTTCCTCTGTTTCTTTTCTTCTCCTTAAACCCTTAAACTCATAAGTAACCATCTCTTCTCTTCACTCCATAATCCTCAGTGACAGGTTTCTTGATTTTCATCATACGGTTTTCAACAGTTAGTACCAACCCAGCATCATCATTATGGAAAAACTAAGCTCCCAAACAATACGTACCAGTTGATCAGCTATATATCCTTGCAAACAGAAGCTAAAGAAGTAAATTATTTAGAGCTTACTAGAAAAATATACGCGTTGTTTCTATTAGCGATGATAACAAAGTGAAAACTTCACAGAGAACATAAATACAGACGGATGATCTTATTCGTCCTAATCATATACAAACACTGCCTGATCTTTCTATCAAAATCTTAAACAAACAGAATAATCATAATACAAAACCCGCAAATATAACCCGATGCATTACAATCCACAAAATGAAACAAAAAACAAACCCATTTAACAAATTCCGATATCATCATAAGCCTACATTCTAAAATCAACATGAGAACACATCAAAATCAGGATCAAGGACTTAAGGTAATGAAAAATGAAAAGAAAAATGAAGAAGAACCGGGATGAAACTCACCAGGTATGACCATCGAGGAGAAACACTTCAGATTTGGATCCTAGCTTCATGCACGCCATGTCTCACCCAAGAAAAGTGTATAACTACACTTTCTGGGCAATCATGGAAAAAGATATAAATCAATAGAAATGACGAGGATGAAGAGAAAAAGAAAGACAGATATAGATAGATATAATATGCAAGGCAATTGGCTTTTCTGTTTTCCCCCTTCGGGTGCAAAACCTTTTCGGCTTTTGGTTACAGAGTGAGACTGAGAGAGAGAGAGAGAGAGAGAGAGAAGAGAGAAGAATGGAGGTGGAGATGGTCCCGAGTCTTAAGGGGTAAATCTAGGAACTAATTCAGTTCCTACTGTTACAAGAAAACAAATTAAGGCAGCGTTTGGTTTTCCTTCTGGAATTATTATTATTATTATTATCATGGTTTTAACGTTGGACCTTTTATAGTATTCAACTGTATGTTATAATTATAATATATGCGTATTAAAAGCTTCTGTAAATACATATATATATATATATAATACATGCATATATGATTCTTGGAATTCCCTTTTTAGTGGATTTAATATTCTTCCATTTCTATTCCATTTCAGTATGTCCATCCTTCATCTTCTGTAGCATGCAAATATTTTAAGATATATACACATTGTTGTTGTGTGTGTGTGTGTGTATATATATATATATATATCTATATGTATGCGTGATATATAAAATTTTATATCATATACTGTAAATCTCGCAATAGATCACTGCAGCCCAACTAACGTCTATTTTGGGCCAACGCTTAACCAAACAATAGGCTCAATTCATTTGTCTCTATAACGTCTGGAACCGGGTCAAGTCCTCTCTCAGTCCTCGCAGCTTTCTGTCAAACTGTGCGAGGAGACGCCGAAGCACGGGCAGCAAAAAATGGAAGCCATGATCAGAGATAGACTAACCCTAGCTCTTTCGATCCTCGCTCTTCTCTCACTCCTCGCTACGTCCTCCTCTTCTAAGGAGCTACAAATCGTAAATGCCGAACGCAGAGTAAGCTCTTAACCTTGGCTCTTTATTCCACATCCTCCCTCATTTCCACAATTTCTCTTCTCATCTTGCATATACACAACAATTTGGAAGGAGGAGATGAAAATATGATTAATCAAGGTCCTAATTGTGTTGCTCGGAGATCGTGTGTGATTTTGAAATGCTTCGGTGTCAGTTTCTGGTGTGTGGATCTGTTGCTGTTACTAGTTTTTGGTTCAAACTGTCTCCGTTAGTGTGATAAGAACTTAATTGGTCATCATTGTTGAGTGTAGGGTGCTAGAGGAAGCTGTTGTTGATTTCTCTCTCTCTCTCGGCGTGATATGTATGGGATTGTGAGGGTAACATCAGTTAATATGTGATGTTAATCTTAGTGGATAAACAATGGGCTGAGATCCATCACAAGTTTAATGTGAGGCAGGTTTTAATTAAGTAGGACTGTAATCTATGAATGTGCTTCTGGAGAAGTTAGATAAGAATGATAAATATAACATCTGATTTTTACCAAGTTCGAAATGGGTTGTGTCAATCATTCACGAATCATAAGTATGAGCTATTGAGAATCTTGTTGTTGATCCTAAACACCCCCTTTCAAGATTAAGAAAATATATTGAGAGCATTTTATAAGGAAGTAAGAAACTACATTAAAAAAAATGAAAATGCTGTACTGTAATTGAAATTTTAGAGAAAACGTTAATCCTCTTTTTTCAAAAACCATGACAAGAGGTGGAAACAAATTAATCTACCGACTAGCAGCTTGAACTTGGTTTGTTCCCAAGCTAAATCATGGTTCATTTTAATTCGCAAATTGGTTTATAACATAAATTTGAATAGCCGAGTCCAAAGCCCTCTGGCCAGATAAGAAACATTCAATTACGTATATTGCATGCATTGCCTTTCACCCTATTATTAGTATCGCTTTACTTCTTAAATTCTCCTTAAAATCTTTCTACTGAATCTAACTTTGCATATAACTGGTGCAGATTGACTTGAGCTCACACATTGTTAAAGTCTTCTTGACTTTGAAGGTATTATCATTTTGATGCTTCTATAATTTGATTTCAGACTCAGTAAGTGCAGTTTTTTTTAATCATTAGAACTGCCATTTTTTTTTTCACAACTGAAGAAACAAGAATATGCATCATTCTTTCATATTGTCTGCTAGGATATTGATCTAATGAACAATATTCTTGCTTCGGAATATTTGAGGATTATGTGTTAGTTATGAGTTTAAAGTCCATGAATTAATGAGTTTCTTC